TGCTTCTCTTGACTCCTCTTTGTTGAAGCCAGGACCCTACTGCTGAATTGAAGCTGCTGTGGTGTCTTCCCCACCCCATTCCCAAGTGCTCAAGGTTGCTGGGGTGAGGGGAGGACAGAGAGAAAGAATTTGCTAGCACCAGCTAATTAAATTAATTAACAGGTGTCTGTGAATGATCATGCTCCTTAACCCTCCTAGGAGTGTCTTTACTTTTTAAAGACGATGTGTGTTAGGGCCGGCCTGGTGGCTTAGCGGTTAAGTGCGCGTGCTCCGCTTCTGGCAGCCTGGGTTCGGATCCTGGGCGTGCACCGACGCACCACTTCTCTGGCCATGCTGAGGCTGTGTCCCACATACAGCAACTAGAAGGATGTGCAACTATGACATACACCTATCTAGTGGGGCTTTGGGGAAAAAAAAAAGGTGGAGGATTGGCAATGGATGTTAGCTCAGAGCTGGTCTTCCTCAGCAAAAAGAGGAGGATTCGCATGGATGTTAGCTCAGGGCTGATCTTCCACACACACAAAAAAGACGATGTGTGTTAAACCAAATAAACCTATAATTGGTGGAACTTCTGGGCATGTAGCAAAGGTGGGCGGGGTGAGAAATCAGTGTGCCAGAAGACTTGGGGAGGTAAGGAAGTGGTGGGAGAAGGCCACCATTTAAGCAGTCTGGGCCTGCATAAGTGCTCTCTACATATTTGCAGAATGAATGAATACAAAGTAGTTGCTGTCCCCAGTTTCTTTTATTCCTGGACTCCAGATAAAAAGCCAGACTCTCTGAGCTGCAGGTTTCTGGTTTTGGTCTGTTTACTGGGCATACGGGCAGTCGTGACCAGGTGGGGTTAGGAGTGTGGCAGGGCATGTGAAATTCATTTGAAATAAGTGAGGAATCCCTGTGTTCTTTTTCACATAAGATTTTTTTCCCCATATAAAAGTAATGCACGTCCATTAAAGACTAAAGATAAAGAAATCACCCGTAGTGCCACCATCCAAAGAAAACCATTGTGAAGATATTGTTATGTTTTCTTCCAATCTAGTTAATAGAGCTGGCATTTTTGTTTTGTTTTGTTCTTTAAGACACTTTTTTTCTGTGGAGGATTATGATTATCTGTTTTGAGGAGAGGATACTTGATGGTTTAAGATTGTCTGTAAAAGAAAAGTGAGAATACTTTGTAATTCTCACCTGTCCATCTTCATTTTAAGTGTTGAATTGCAAATTCTGAACAAAAAAATTTCTTTTAAAATTCTTCTTTTCAGTCTCAAATTAGTGCCCCAAATGCTTTTGTTTCCGGTGGTCAGTGGTCCCTCCAGACAGTGACAGTGTCAGACCACCTATTTATGGCTAAGCCCCTGCCTTGCATGGCAACCTGGCTCTGTGCCTTAGACCTTCTCCTTCCAGGATCTTCGCCTTTTACCATTCTCTTGGTTCCTTCCCCAAAGCATTTCAACATATTCGAAACTTACACCTTTAAAAACCAAACATGTGGCTAGCTCAGGCCTCCCTCCAGCTACCACCTCATCTCTTACCTCTCCTTCCTAGCCAGACTTTCTGAACCCTGTTATCTGCCCGTCCTTTCTCCAGCCTTGCTTCCCTGTCCCTTCTCAGCCCACTGTGGTCTTGCTGCTGTGACCACCACTCAGCTGAAACCACTCCCACCAAGGTTACCAAAGGCCTCCTGGTGGTTAAATCCAAATGTTGCTCCTCAGGCTTCATGTACTTGACCTTCCAACACCCACCTTGACTGGCTTTTTTCTCTCCCCTTTGCTTCTGTAACTCCAGAATCTCCTAGATTTCTGCCTATCCACACCTCCTTCTCAGGTTTCTTTTTGAGCCCCTCTCCTTCTTCTCAGCGTGTTTCTGTTCCTCCAGTTCTATCCTGTGCCCTCGTCTTGCCTCATCTCATCTTTTCTCTCACCGCACACCCTTGTGAATCTTGTCCATTCCCATGGCTTTGTTTTCCACTTATCCCGTGCCAAGGACTCCCAAGTCTCTGCCTCCAGCCCCCGTCCCTCTCATGAACTTGAAACCCCTCTATCCCACTGCATGCTGAACATCTTCACTTAGATATGCCATAGACATCTAAACATCTACAGCCCCCGCAGACCCCTTCTCCCCTCTAGCCTGCTCCTCATCCTGTGCTTATCATTTCGGTGGGTGAGTCATGGAGGCCTATCAAGTCTTCTGCTGATAAGCCCTCTCGTCATTCCTGGGAGCTTCATCCCCATTACTCTTCCACACCCTTCAGGTTACCCTGCTGACTCGCCTGTACTTCCACAGCCTCCTAAACTGGCCGTTCTCCATGCCACAAATGGAGACAGCTGATCCTGTCACTCCTGTGTTGATGCCTTCAGTGCCTCCTCACCCCTCAACCTGGTTACATGGCTCCTTTGTCATCTGGCTCCTAGTTGCCTCTGTGGCCCCTCTCTCTTCAACCCCACCATCCCTTTGTACATTTGTTCTCTCTGGAAACACTCCTTCTTTCCTTGCCTAGCTAATGCCTTTTCATCCTTCACGTCTCTGCTCAAACTTACATCCTTCGGGAAGCCCCTCAGACCTGCTAAAAACTGGGATAACTGCTGATCTGTGTGTTCCTGGCCCCTTGTATGTACCCCGGCAGCAACACACACACGGTGTTATGATGGCCTGTAGTTACTCGTCTCCCCATCTAGACTGTAAGCCAGGACATGATGTCTTTCTCTGTAGTGTCCTTCAACATTTAACCCATGTCCAGTACACTACTCATTACTAGAGTGGATGGACGCAATGCCACTTTCCTCTGGCTGTCGGTGGTGCTGCTAGCCAGCTAAAGAGTACTCAGCTGTGTAGTTTGTGGGGGGCTCTTCAGGGAGCATAACCCTGGAGTTGTTAATTGGGAAGTTAAAAGCTTGGAATAAGTAGGTCTACTAGAGACCTTTTTGCAAATATAGTTCAAAAGGAACTGATTTCTCTACATATGGGCTTTTAAAAACATTTATTATAAAATATTTTTAGAAAAATCAACTACAGAGAATTACTCGTAAAAGCTTATTGCTATCTAGGTGTTTTAACCAGTTAAAATGACTTCCTTTTTAAACTAATATTGTCTAATAGATACCAAGTTTTTTCAGTTTGTGGGAGTTTTATGAACATTTATATGGAAACCACGAGCACCGAGGTCTGTGGCAGCCTTGCTCAGTTACCCGCTAGCCAGTCCTGGTTCCCATAGAAGAGTCGACATGTCTTGCAGGCATCTTGTATCCCAGGGAAGACCTCAGCAGGGTCTTTTTTCTCACTAATTCCCACCAAGACTCCAAGGAAGAGAAAATTGGTACAGATTTGTTAGGAGAGATGGAAAGGGGCCAGTGACTGGGTCATGGTGGGGCGCTGGCAGCTTGAGGGCACACAGTTTCTGAAAAATCTGGAAGATTTATTTTCATACACCAATTTGTTTATTTCTTGTCTAGTATTTCTACTGAAGACGTTAAGTCATATGAAATTATATCTCAATACTCCAATGGAATGAAATAATGGCACAGTATAGCTTTTTTTGAATTATTCATTTATTCTTTGTAGGTTATATCCAGGTTCCTGTTAATTTCAATTCACTTAGTTCAGAATTACAACATATGATGTCATCTGGTCCACACTGTATTATCTACTTGTTTTCCCACTATAGACACCTAATCAGTGTCTTCCAGTGTCTTCTTTGGTCATGGCAGTCACATTTCAGTGAAGGCTGCCTGTCTTGGTCTACCCCAGATCTCTTGTTAATACCAGGCAGTGCCTGGCCTGCCCTGGAGTTCTGCCGATTTTCAGATCTTTGGATTGAATTATTGTTTGTTCTGGTATGATGTTGACTTCCTTCATTATTTCACGCTTCTGCCAGGAGAGACCCACGTGTTATTTATCCATCATCCTCATTTTGAAAATATCACAGTAAGGAATTCATTGAATTTTTTTCAGCTGTCTTCTTTTTCTGTCAATAATTCATTGCAACATTTCTTAGAAGTTGTTCTGTCTCCTTCACTGACTTTCTTAATGCCTTCTAATTATTTCTTATCTTTAAAAATTCTTTCACAGCTTTTAATATTTAGTAAGTCATGCTATCATTAAAGAGGCAACTTTATTCTTTTTATTGTTCAGATTTCTGTGGGTGTTGATTGTGAATCACAGAATGATGCTAGAATTGGAGAAGCATCAATAGGTTGAGGCTGTGCATCTAAAGAGCAGGCCTACCTTTAGAAGCAATCCTGTTGGCTTATTTCTGTTCTGCAGAGGAGAAGCATAATTATAAATCTCCTTATGTTATAGAGAACCCTCTTTATGATGTTGGTGTAGAAGGGAAATAAAATAGCCAAGTTCTAAGTCTGCCGTGTTATAATGGATACACTCTACATATTATAAAGGATACTCTTTACATTTCTGTATACCTGCCTGTCCTACAGTATATGGAGTCAGCAGCATAAGGTAGTACATTACAGTCAATTAATTCATCAGTATTTATTGATTATCATTTCATGAAAGAAACCACACCAGACACTAATGATGATGCAGGAAATTCAGGGCATCTGATGTTTAAGACGTTATGTCTGCTTCGTATAACTCAACCTGAAGCATAGCACAAGGGAGGGTGTTGTTGGGCAAAGAGTGGAGTGACTCTGCCAATGTTGTATGCTAAGATACGTTGGGAATTAAGACATAGGTAAAAAAAATATTTTGTGAAAGAATTTTCAGAATAAACTTTTTTTATAAAACATTGAGAGTAGCATATGGTATCAATTTAAGGGAATAACTGATTTTAAAAGAATAAGGCAAAGTACATCAGTAATTATTGAATGGGCCACAGTGGAGTGGATTAAATATAACTCACGGGACTGGGTGATCTTTGATGCATAATGGGCCAGTAATTAGAAATTACCCAAGATTAATGAGAAGGATCGCAGATTGCTTAGGTACTAATTTGTTTTCTTGCACATGTGGTCTAGTGTATCACGTAAACATGTATTCTTTCTTGTTTTCAGCATGCACTCCTGGCTTTAAAGTTTATACTTGCATTTGCCATAGCTGATAAACCACGGCATATCCAGATGAAACTGGCCAAATTGGAATTTGAGTCTTTGGAGGCACTCAAGCAGCAGGTAAGCACAACTGTTCTGAAAACAAATCTATTTCTTTAGCAAATGCCAGGAGATATGATTCAGAGGACTCACTCTCAGCATTTCCTTCAGCCTTGAAGTTACCAGTTTAAATAAATACAGAAGACTCCAGTTTAGGATGGCATAACAAAACCAAAATCCTCATAATATAAATAAGAAAAGAATTAAACTAAGCAAAACAAAAATATTGAAGCTATGTTAAATAAAAAATAGAGCTGGCATTCAGCAAAAGAACAAGACAGAGATTTCCAAGAATCACCCGGGGGCAGCTCCCACAGTATCTAGGTCTGCATCCTACAGAAACATTAAGGGAGGAGAAGTGAGTAAATAGAATCCTGATTAATGTTTTCAATGAATGCGAGAGACCAAGAAAGTGTGGGCAGAAGCAGCAAAAAATGCCATGAAAGTAGAAATCACTTCCCAATGACTTCCTCATTGTACCAGAGACCAAAAACAAAAAAAGAGAGAGAGAGAGAGAAAATGAAAACCGCCGTGCTGGAGTTCATCATTTTGGTGATTTTCTACTTGTAGGAGAGTGAGAGTAGGGAGACAGAAGATTCCTAGATGCCCAGAGCTAGTTTTCTCCAATGATACGTAGAAACTTAACCAAGAAAATCCATAAGGCAATATCATCTAGGGGACTAGCTCTGGGTCCAAGACCTCTCTGACCCACGCAGTCCTTTAGGCTTCCAAACCACCTTTTACAGGAACATTTCCTCTTATGTTTAGGGAGTTAGGAGAAAAAAATTGTAAGGAGGAGCCACTCGAGCTGACTTTCTGATAGAAGCAAGGACTCCACGGGTAGTGCCCCAAATAGGGGAACTCCACACTGGAGCAGAACGTGCCTCTGATTAGGTGGAGTGACCCTAGAATAAGACTTGTGATAAGAGTAGAAAGAGAAGGAGAAGCCCAGGTCCACCACACCATTGCTGTGCTCATGTTTGTCACTTAGGTGACAGTAGGTATAAGAAGACTAAATTACCTGTGTTTCCCAGGTGTAGGGCAAGTTCACTTTTGGCATGTGGGCTAGCCAATATGTTTGTATCTTAAATCAAAACCCAGCATCATGCTCAGTAGTGAAACAACAGAACGATTCATAGCGATATCAGGAAACCCAATATCACCACTGATATTCAGCGTTGTTCTGCAGATGCTAACCAATAGGTATATAAGAGGAAGAAGTAAGAAGTTCAGGTAACCTGGAAGAGGCACATTTATCATTACTCGAAGATCATAAGATTATATATCTAAAAATCACAGGTAAATTATTAGAAACAATAGGAAAATTTGGTAAGGAGGCGGGTTACAAAGTTTATGTAAAATCATTTGTTTCCTTTCACAAGAAATAATAACCAATTTGAAAATATTATTGAAGAAAAATTCCCATTTACAAAAGAAACGAAAATATAAATCCTTTAGGTAGTAACTTACGAAAAAATACGGATAATCTATATGAAGAAACATTTTTAAAACTCTAGTGGGATCAAAAGATTCAGTCTTGTGAAAATGTAATACCAATTCAAACACATAGAAATAAACATTTAGAAAAAGCAGGAAACTTCTGCAAATGAAGAAAAATGAGGCCTCTAGCTCTGCCAGATATTAAAATGTATTCTGAATAATACAATAGTTATAGTAATTAAATCCATTTTGAATTAGGGAAGAAATGGACGGACAAATCAGTAGCATCGAGCCCAGAGTCCATAAATGGACCCAAATAAAACTAGGACTTTAGTTTATGGTAAAAGTAACATTTTATGTCAGTGGAAAAAAAGGAAGGATTGTTTGTTACATGGTTTGATGACAAACAGTTGTTTGGGAAAATTGTTACACTTCATTCTACCTCACTCCTTACACACAGCTCCCCCCACAAAATTCAGAGGTTTGAGAGATTTAAATGTAAAAAATTTAAACCATAAAACATCTATAAAAAAGCCTAGGTACATCTTACAGTGGGAAATGCCTTCCTAATCAGGACATAAAACTCAAAGACTGTAAAGAAAAATATTGATAAAGTAAAATATACGAAAATTTAAAACTTCTATGTGACAAAAAAACAGAAAACTCAAAAGATAAATTGGACAAACTGGAGAGATATTTGTAACGTGTGAAAAATGGATAACATCTTTAATTCAAAAAAAATTTTCTACAAATCCATAAAAAAAGACAATCCAGTAATCAAAAGATAACATATGAAGAGATGCCCAACCTCACTCAGACTTAAAGAAATGTAAATTAAAACAACAATGAAATAAACCACATTTCACCTATTTTATTGGCAAATGTTGGTTGATAACCTGTCCTCATTGGGTGTGGGGAAATGGACGCTCTTTTATATACTCTTGCAGAAGTGTAAATTGGTTCAGCCTCTCTAGATTGCAATTGAATCAAAATTTAAATTACTCTCCAACCCAAAATGACTTTTGCTAGGATAATGGATATATCTGCAAAGTATACCAAACTATAGTCAGTGAAACATGTTTATTAGCAAAACCCTGGAGACAACCGAATTCCTCAGTAGGAGACTGGTTAAATAAATTAAGGTTTGATGTGATTCCATATGATAAAATTCTATGAACATGCTTTTTAAAAAAAGGATCTGTCTGTGCTGGTGTGTGTGTGTGTGTGTGTGTGTGTGTGTGTGTGTTGGCTATTAAGTGGAAAAAGCAAGATAAAGAACAATATGATGCCTTTTGAGTCAAATTTTAAAGAGAAGGAAGAGAAGTGGATGAATGCTGATATGTGCATTTGTTTTTCTTGGAAGAGCTCCTGCGAAACCATGACCAGTAGTTATCTTTGAGGAGAGAAATTAAGATTTCTCTTTTAACATACAGTTTGAATTTTTTGACCATGCACATGTATTACTTTTTTAAAGTCAATAGGAATTCTTTGGGATGGGAATTATTTGCCATTTCTTATCTGTATACTTTTCTTCATTTAAAACATTAACGTAAGTAAATAAGGAATAAAGCCCTCCCACATGTTGCAGATTTGAATAATTCCTTAAATTCCCTAATGCCATTTTTAGACACACATGGTGGGCACATTCTTCACACATCCTGCTTTCTCCTTCTTTTTATAAGCATTTATATGCTTTCTTTTTTTTTTTAGAAAAAATTTTAAACATCATGTGAGATTTTTAAAGTAAAATTTATTTTCTCATAATAGATATTTTACAAATAAAGTTTGAGACCATGAATCAAGTGTAGAAACCAAGATGCAAAATGATACAAGGTGAGAATTGTTTGTTAATTCCTCAGTAAACCTCAGGTAAGGGTGGAGTGAGACCAAGTCTAGAGGACAGGCCTGCAGGCCATCAATTTGGCATCCCATTCAATATTTTAAAGTATCTGCTCAGCTCTCGTTTAGAGGAGAGGCTGAGACCACAAGGGGGAGGGGCAGAGAAATAGGATGAATGGGGAGGGATGGGTGGAGCACAGCCCCTCCAAACAGCAGCATTCCTTAGACTTTGCAGGGAGCACATGGGCACAGACAGTTATAAGGGCCTTGATTTTCAGATCCTCAGCTTACACATGTACTCTTTCCTAAAACATAACTGCCTGAGTGTGCCCCGGCGTCCTGCTGGTTCCTGCTGGCTGTCTGTGGCCACTCCACCTCACCTTTCACAATAGTCCTTCTCCCACTTTGCAGAAGGAAGGCACATCTTTCACCGTCTTGAACCCTACCTACCATGTGCCTTGTCCCTGGGGTAAAAACCTCCCAGGTGACAGAGAATCTTACATAATGAAGCTGCATTCAGTAAAGGCACCCCAATCTCCCTCCCACCAAAACCAAATCCATCTCCTTGAGAAATGTATTTCCAAAAGGTATCCAGAAACTTATGTTCAATAATTATTTATCAAAATGTGTATTATATTTATATAATTTTCATCATTACTCACCAATTCTAATTGTAATGACTGATCAGTCCAGAAGAAAATTTTAAACACTTATAGGAAGACTTCTAGTCACAGGAAATTTTTTTAACTTTTCAATTTCCATTTATGAGCATATTATTATTGAAGTAAAGTATGAGAGAGTGATGATACTTTCAAGCAAAAAAAATGTATTTTATTAGGATAAAATTCTTTGGAAGAAATGGAAAGAAAATATGATTTCAAAGAGGGAAATAAGGAAAAACATAAAATTGTTACTATTAAGAGCATATTTGTGTATTTTTTAAACAAGTGATGGTGGATATCGCATCGCCATGGTACTTATTAGATTATCTTGGATCTAATGACCAATAGAGTGACCTAATAGTTTATTTTTAAGTGTCCGTATTTACAGTATGCTAGAAAATAATGTTTTTGCAACTATTTAATTTATGATGAAAATTTTAGATGTCAACTTAAAATTGTGTGGGAGGGCACATAACATTGAAAAATTTTAGGGGATATGTAAGCATAAAAGTTTTAAATTGTACAGCATTGTCTCTGGAAGAGTTCTGGTAAATCAGCTTTCTCCATTGATTACATTTCTAGTGAGGTTCTATAGATTGGGGCAGGCAATTCTCCGGCTGGGGTGTACACACCTTAACTCGGGGTTAGTGAAGCTTTCCTCTCAGGATTGCATCTTGCCATGTATTTGTCTAAAAAGCAAAGGGTAGGGCCAGCCCCGTGGCTTAGTGGTTAACTGCGCACGCTCCGCTACTGGCGGCCCGGGTTCGGATCCCGGGCACGCACCGACACACCACTTCTCCGGCCATGCTGAGGCCACTTCCCACATACAGCAACTAGAAGGATGTGCAACTATGACATACAACTATCTACTGGGGCTTTGGGTTAAAAAAAAAATTTTGGGTTAAAAAAAAAAGGGAGGAGGATTGGCAGTAGATGTTAGCTCAGAGCCCGTCTTAGCAAAAAGAGGAGGATTGGCATGGATGTTAGTTAGCTCACAGCTGATCTTCCTCACAAAAAAATAAATAAATAAAATAAAAAGCAAAGGGTCTTTATTGATGTTGGATATTATTAACATGTCTC